ACTCGTTGAGGTTTTCCTCTCCGGTGGACACTTGCTGACAGTTTTCCGCGAAAACCTGAGAAATTAAACAGAGCAGCAAGTGCAGTGAGAGAAGAGAGAGAGAGAGGGAGATGAGCGGGAAATTAATTTCTGTTTTGATTTAAATTATGTTCAACGCGGCTCGCTTTTCCCGCCGCTCCCTGGCGAATTCAATTAAGTTTTAAATAAGAAAAACATGCATAATTTTTATTTCCCCCCAATATATTATTTATACTTATAATTTATATTTTCTTTTTTTTGTCGGAATAAATAACACCGCTCCGCTGGGCGGCTCCATGGCCTGTCAAGTCGATCGGCGGTGGCAGTGCCATCTTGGACGTTCTTCGAGCCCCACGCGAGAAAATCGCGCGCATCGCATCGCTTTTCCCGTCGCCTTTGCCCGGCGGCCGCCCACTCGCATTTTCACTTTTACACGCCCGAAAAGAAAAGCACACAGCGATCCAAAGTGCAGCATATATAAAATAATATTTTTGTGGCCCAGTGCAGTTTTTTTGGAAAATCATGTCACTCGCAGTGCCAGCACGAAAAGTGTGGAAATTCTAGTCGAAAAGTGTGAAAAAAGTGTGTGTATAGAAAAGTAAACTGATCTCAGTTTAAAGTAGAAATTAAATCAAGCTGCAGAGAATTAAATGCAAATATGGAAAGTAAATAAAGTAAGGAATATAAAAGTTTTAAAAATAAATCAATCTAAAAAAAATCAAGACAAAACATAAGTTAAACCATAAGCTTATCCTAATAATGGTAATAATGTTCATAACAATGAAATAAAAAACCTAGAAAATTCCCTCTACAAATTGCAATTAACATAGCATAACAAAATATAAAATAAATTCTAGAGTGTTGTAAATTTGCCTCGCTTTATTGTTTGTTGATTGTATCTGCAGTGCGTCGTATTTGTATCTACATCTACATCTTTAAATGTGATGTATCCGCGAGTGCGTTCGCTTTTGTGACATCGCAAAGATTTGACCTCGCACTTCACCCATCAAGTGAATTCATTTGCCGCTCGACTCACGCGATCAACGATCTCCCTCGTCATCGTCATCGGTTGTGTGTGACTTCTTGGTTCGTGGATATTGTATCTTGTAGCTTGTATCTTGGATCTGGGATCTCCACAGACACAATAAACCCGGCAATTTGTCACACAAAGAAATCATTCTAGTCCGCGGAAGCTCGAGCCAATTGCAATTGAAGTAAGTCTATGGTTTATAAAAACATATATGTATGTACCTATAGAACTTGATGCTGTTCCAGTGGATCATTTGGGGGAATGGGTTCTCTGGACGTCGTCGCATTCAATATTTATGACCCACTGAATGTCCAACATGTGCGCCACATTGCAACAAAAATAGCCGGCATTGAAATGAATTTAGCAAAAAAGCAGAAGGAAATCGGAAAAGTCGATCGTGGAAAAATATAGAAAAAATCATAGAGAGCCATCCGAAAATAAGTCATAGGAAAATCTAGAAAAAGAAACACGAAATTATTAATTAGTTTTTGGACAAACTCTCGGTCTGTGTTGTGTTCGACAGCTCTGTTCCATTAATATCGCTATATATATAGGCCAGGCGACCGTAAATCTTCCGCATCAAATGCAAATAAAAAGAGGAATGAAATTAAATTATGATTCTTCTTCACACTATACGTTGACAATTTTTATTTGCTTAACCGGGGGAGAGGTTCTCAAGAGGGGAAAGCTTGAAAATTTATGCCAAATCCCGGAATCAGCTGGTGTCCAGCAGCCGGTGGGTCCATAAAATAGTATCCAATTAGCAGCGGAAGGCAGCAAACAGCAACACCGTCAGATGACCCCAAAAACTAAAACTAATTTGTCAGGGTTTCGGTCTCGGTCTCGGGACACGGACACGGACACGGACACGGAGGAGTCGGCTTCCATTTTCCGTATTCGTATACGGTTTTGTCATTACGGTCAATAATTACCGCAAGCATGTCAACCGAAATTATTGCCCAGATAGATTTTCCAACCCCGTTTGCCACACTTCGGTTTAAGTGTCCGGCCATGTGTTGCAGTCAAACCGCAAGGACTTTTCCACCTCCCACTCCCCCCATTCCTGAGTCCGTCCACCCTGCCGGAAATAATTACTCAGCTTGCTTTTCTTTCAAGGAGAGTGTACGGGGGAGGTGGAGGAGCTTGGGGGCGGCATCTCTTGCCACATTTAATTTATATTATTTGTGCTTCCTTTTGTGCGAATCCCCTGCTCTGTCCTGTACACCTTGCTCACCTGGCTTTATTAGTAGTTCACTGTCTGTCGGTCTTTTGGTCTTTTGGTTGGTCTACAGTATACGTACATCCCTCCCCCAAAAGGACTAGGCGGCATGTCCTGGCTCCTGCTGTTGTCGTTATTCAACCACTAAACTGTGTTTTGGCTTTTGTTGCATTTCCAACCGCATTCCTGTGGTTTCTTCAACTTCTTCGATTTTCCAGTTGAGTTTCTAATAATATTATTGGAATTGAGGGTTCCCCCTTCCGTCCCCTTTTTGGGAGGAAGTTAAAGTTGATGTTGCATTCAATATTTAGTTTCCACAAACAACCAGTGTTTTGTGTTTCCGAAATGCCGTACATCGAGTAAATTATTAAATAACATTAACATCTAGCTCGTGGCCGCAGAAATGTCTGACTGAATGGAGTCGAGACGTGGCTTTAGCTATTGGTCAAATTCAATTCAATATTGATCGACATTCGGGGTCAGCCAAAACAGAAGGAGCAAGCAGTAAGGACACGAAAAAAATCGAACCGCAGGAACAAAAAAAGGGTTACCAGTTGCCACACATTGACGCTTGAAGAAAAATTGTTAAAAATTAAAAGAAAAAGTCTGGAAAGTATAGCTGAAATTTGTTTATTTACTTGGCTTTTCTCTACTTATTTATTTACTTGTGCAATCAATTAAATCTATATTAGGGAATACTATAAGGAAGGCAGCAGCAAAGTTTGAATAATATACCGAATTTTATAAATAGACATTTCCCTCATTTAATTAAATCAAAATATGCATTTTTCTCATTTAATATTCTATGTTTTTAATTAATATATACTCACTTAATATTTAAACCTTTTATAAATTAAAGTCATTATTTTCAGTGTCATAAAGAACAATGAATGAAACAAAAAGAAGTATATATACATGGTTACACTCGCACACTCATATATCTTTGAATTCAATGACTGAACTTTTATGGCGGCCATTTACCTGTGCACCAAAACCACAGTGCCTGTTGTGAGTGTGTAGCAGCAGATGTGACCCACTGTATCTGTGTCGCATGTTTGTGGGTGGAATGGGTTAAAGATTCCAGGGGATTCTCGGGCACAGAGGCTAACCTGGCATCGAAAGGAAGTACGGAGTAATTGCTCGCGATAAGAATCTAAGATTAGATAAAATGGCAAACAATTAGGTACAGGCCTCAGCTCCCGATAAGCAGCAGCAGATTGGTATCACCAAGTTAATTTATATTCGGCTTAAACCCGCCAAGAGATGGGGGATTATATATAGAATACAGGTCGACTGGAGTGTGTATATTTTAATGGTTGGTTTGGTTTTCCTATCTTTACATAGAACAACGTTTTAGTATACAACGTAATAAGCTGATTAACTAATCTCGTATGGGAGTTCTGACACTATTTCACATTAATGGCAAATTCCATTTAAATAGAGCAACACACACAGTTCTTATCAACTGATAATTGACTAGAGGAAAATTTGTGAATGAAGTGCTCGAAAAGGTGTATTGAATTTAAATTTTTAATTTAAGATTTCCTATAAATCCCACTGACTTACCTTGTCTAATTTTAAATTCAGTTACTGAATTTAGCGGTTTCCTTGAAGCCCTTGCAGCACTTGATGTGACAGTCCCTGGAAATGGTTAAACTTATAATAAAGCCATGAATATGTAATTGAATTTTCGATTTTTTCCTGTTCGATTCCGGCCATAGCTAACTGTCCACTCCACAAACCCCATAATTATCTATTGGTTAGAGGGTAGGAGCCAGGGTTTTGGGCCATATGTAAAGTGACACACATTTACCACTAAATAGTCGCTTATTATAATTCGATGGCACACAATGACAAAGGCGCTTTCTTTCGCTACGTCCACTAACCACTCTATGCCATACCATATATATCCTATATATCCTATACATGGTATATATAGTATATACCTGAGAGTGGTATGTGTGTCGGCTGAGAACGGCTGTCCGGTCACACGACCCCACAAGTCACCCACTCGAAAACCCATCGATACTTCGGCTACGTGGCAAGCTCATTGGTCTCCATTTCTCCTGGTATTTGTGTAATGGCCCTGCAGACACACAGACCGACCCGACGGACGGATATATATCCCCCGGTACATATATAAATTCAGAGCGGCGGCTCGCACGGGTTTAGTTTATATTTATGAGCATTATAGTGCGGATATATCGAGCGCCAAGTCGAAAGTTCTTTCGCCGCTGTAAAACAAGTTCAATTGCAGTTGTTCGATATAGTTAGAGCTATTGGTTTCCGGTCATATCATCCCGTGTTTCGTCATGTGTGTTTTCCAGGCTAAGCGGGATTCGATGGAAGGTATTTCCTTCTCCACACGATTTGGGGCTCTCGATAAGATATTCAATTAAAGAGCTCGACAACCTGTACAACCCGATAGCGATAGCGAAACTCAAACAAAAGCCAACATTTTCGACTTGACTCGGTAGCGCACGGCTCTCCCTTGGAGAGCAAATGTTGGCCAGAGAAAACTGACTCCAGAGAGTGGGTGAAATTTTTTACCTGGCAGCAATCAGTAAGCAATTATGCGATAAGGCCCTTATCAGTTACCAGATAACATATATCTCGCGAGACCTAGAGAGAGAGAGGATACCTTTTTGTGGAGTAAAATTATGAAATTGAAATTGGAATTTCGGCTTCGTTAGTTGTCCATCGTTGGCGTTTACGTGCGGTTGTCTCCCTTCTCGAGGTTTTAATTACAATTTATATATCGATTCCGATCAGTGCAGCTCGCGAGTGCATATCGAGTGATTACTTGATTGATTTACCCCGATATCTGTAGATAAAATGTACTTGATATGAATACGGTGGCATATGGTGTGTGAAAATTCTAAGAAACGCTCATGTAACAAGTGAAACGTCTGCAAAGTGATCTATATTTGAGGAATACCTAATAAAATAAAGGGTTCTTAAAGTGAGTAAAACTGTTTATGATGGAAATTAAAATTTATATTTATAAAACTGATTTGAATGTGTAACAAACTATAGAAAGCCTTGGGTGTATTTTTCTTATCAAATTTGAAAGCTTTTATTACTTTTACACACTTTTAAAGTACGTAAAAATATTTGAAATAAGGCTATGCTATTTAAAGACTAACCTTTTTAAAACCCATAACAACAAAAGTGTGACACTCAAAGTGTGGATTATATTTCGTCATTCTCCATAATTTTTCAACTATTAGTCATAATTCTTGGTTAACATCAAACTATCTGAAGTTTGTCTGCAACTAAAGATAAGAAACCTGTTCAACTTTACTCCACCAACTCCAGTTATTTTGGATTTATATGTACATATCCGAGGTTGAACCATATTGTCTCCAAAAAAACTACGTAAAAAGGCGAAAAAAAAAAACCGAGAACCACAATAAAGCAAACACAGGAACGAACGTATAAACTCGAGATAAGATAAGGAAAAACCGCTCAACAAGTGAATGGGAAAATGCGGAGAGGGCGCAACAATCTGGATTGGACATATGGGGATGTGTGTGAACCAGAGACTCTCGGTTGCTCCGGCACAATGCAACCCATGGACAAGTGACATCTTTACGAAATGTCAACTGTCAGAATGACAGAATGGCAAGACGCTGACAGAGAAAACACCGAGAATTGGGGTCAAAGTGGATCCAGGGACCTAGAACTCAGTATGAGAGAAGAACATGACCCCGGGCTCGGCTCGGTGTTTTGCCCACATTTGCATACAATGGGCAAAGTTTGATTATCTCTCCGTGTCTGTGTCTGTGTCGTTTGGGGGGCTTTTCAAAGGCAGCAGCTGCTGGGCAAAATATTGTCACTAAAGTTAATTAAAAAACAGCCAGAGGCACACATCACAGGACACCCACACACACACAGACACCCACTCACAGGAGGATAGGAATCTGGTTTAATAAAAATACCAAAGGGTGCCATGGAGGGGTTGAGGTTGAGCCATAGCTTTTGGGGGTGGCTCTCTCTCTCCTCTCTCTCTGTCAACGCTGCGTGGGCAAACAAAGGCAAATAAATAGAAAAGAGATACTCAATAATCAATAGATAAATAAAATTACAAGGTGACAGCAGCAGCAGCAGCGACGAGGATGGCACAGCTGGTTGCTTCTCGCCACCGATATCCTGTAGTCGGGGAGTGCGTTAAAGCTGCAGGATCCACATCCACATCGTCTGGTTGGGGAAGCAACAGTGCCGATAACTGCTCATAATGCAGCAGTCAGGGGTAATCCTCAGAGAACTAAGAAGACTACAAATACCCTACTTTAAGAATATATATAGAGTTTTAATAAGTTTAAAGAGTAGATGAAATAATACATTTAATGTTAAGGTTTGGTTTCTAATCGATTTCTAATTAAGGAGGAATACTAAATGTCTTTAGTATTTCATTAATATTTTCACATCCTTTGTGGTAAATTAAAATATCCCTAAAAACATAATACCCTCACTCGAACGATGCTGGCGTCGTCGACATCGTTTGATGGCGCTGGGATAAGCGCGTGGCAAGTGGCAAGGATCCGCAGAAGCCAGGATATTGGGCTTGAGGGCTGGCTGGGGTTGGGTGTATTATTTAGGGGGCCAAGAGCACAAGCATGCCGCTGGCAGACCGATGGCTGCCTTCACAACACGCTTCGAGGGTGGGAGAGAGGATGCAACAAGCTCTCCACGGCACGCCTCGCCAACGCTGCGGATGATGCGGATGATGCCCGTTGGCCATGGTGACTGCCACGGCGGCGACAGTTGCCAAGTTGCCAGTGGCCGGCCAAGAGGAGCGACGGAGCCGAAAAATACAAACAACAAAAAAATAAAACAAAAGAAAACACTAGAGAAAGACCGCGTTCGCTGTGAACATAAACAAGTTGAGAACGTAAATAGAAAAGCGCGAAAATATGCAAGCGTTGGAAAATATTAAAAAATAATAGAAAAACCGGTGAGCTACGCGGCGATTATCTGGAAACACGAGAGAAATTCATCCAAAATTGAGGTGTGCTCCTAAAGTGAATTTTGATTTTAGGGTGGCAAATTCTTTGGAAAATTGTGGACTTTTTGGTTAAAGAGAAAATATGTAAGGGGTTTTTGGCAGAAAAAATATTTATACTTTGGCGGTTAGAGAAATATTTATATTAGGTCTACGTAACTTATTAATTAATTGATTTCCGATGAATTAATTTTTTAAAATGGAAAAATAATTAAGAGATGAACTTAAGAAACAAATCCTGTTAAATATTAATTCAGTGCTTGTGACACACTAAATTTTATGTAAAAGCCTTCAACTTGATTAGTTCTGCCTTTAATGCATCCGGCCAGCGCATAAAGCAATCAGGCACCGTAATCGCTTTCCTTGCCAGTACAGTATGCACCATATGTATATAGCACCCTCTAACTACCCTCCACTCCTGGCCCTCTATATGTACATATATCTATTGAAATCCGTGTATGTGCAGGCGCGTTAATTAAGGCGCCCATGCCTGTGGCCAGTCAAGTGCGACAACAAATAATTTGATTTCAATTTAACTAATTAGCTAGAGCCTTCAACATTATGCGGCCAACTGAGCTCGGCTCTTCACTGTGCGAGCGCACTCGAAATCCTTATCTTTTAGCGTCAGCTGCCGACATCAGTGCACTGGAAAAAATAAGGATACTAGATTTTATCTAGAATATAGTAATAATAGTTTATTCCAAGGTTCCAAGCTTAAAATACATATATATGTACCTTGGAGTTTAATGCTCACAAGCAAATGTTTCAAAAACGGATTGGAAAAATCAAATAGAATTTGCATTTTGTAACTGAAATCTGAAATTAATCTTAACAAGGAAATAATAGAATTTTCCTAATGCTATTTTCTTAAAATTTTTCCATTTACTGAAAAAAGCATCTTATAATATTATTTATTTAATAAACTATTTTTACAATTCAATAATATGTCCATTTCGAAAATCAACCTGCAACCAAAACAGCCTGACCTTAAATTCTAACAAAAATACAATATAAATAATGTTGTATTTCATATATTATTATTATTTTAACTGCAACTTTTTAATATTTTTCCCAGTGTACATACATGCATTACTGTGTGTGTGTACAGACCACTACACGCTTCTATGCCTGTATCTTTGTGTGTGTATCAAAGCGAGTACTTCAATGCAGACAGTCGAGTGGGTCCAAGTACTGCGGTCACTCTGTCAGGACGACAGTCAGTCAATGCGTCAGTCAATATGCCTTTCATTCAAATGCGCTTAGCTATGCCGTTCAGGTCATTCAGGAGATCAGTCGAAAGGGCGTGGTTATGAAGGATCTGGTAGCCATTTTGACTGCGGTTTCCTTGAAGGATACTTACAAAATTAATAAATACACATGAAAAGGCAACTTAGGAATGCTCAACTCAGGAAATTAAAGGTTTCATGGAATTTAGAAATTGAAATGACTATAAGAAAAGCAGAAATTAAGTTGAATTTGAGACTAACAATCCTTAAATTAAAAAGGATAAATAAGTGGAACAATAATTCCATACTTGAGAAAATAATATTTAGTTGTAACTACTATTAATTCTTTTACGAAAATATATACAAGACCCAATCGCTTTTTAATTTCTACGATTATGTCTCTCCCACTTAATTTATCCACTTATATCTAGCACACATCCCCTTCGTCCACTTAATAATGCATTTCGTTCAACTCTAAATACATGTCTTTTAATCAGCCAACACTTTGTTCTTAATTTAATTACAGTTGAAACTTGAGCTCAGCCAACTCCCAAAAGGGATATAAAAAAAACAACAGAAGCAAACGCAGAGGCTAATTGAGGAGGGGAAAAAACTGTGATAAACAAAAGGAGAAACGAAAAGGGTTACAGCGGGAAAATATACAATTTTAATAAAACTAAAACCCGAAGCAAATTAAAAAGCAGGCGACGCCAAATGCGGCACTAAAAGTAATTAGCGACAGGAGCTGCAGGACACGGCGCAGTGCAGAAGCAAAACAGAGTTGTAATAAATGATGTTGCAATCCCTGAATCTGCAGGCGGATAAACTGAGTGGCATTTCTGCAGCAGCAACACCAACAGCAACAGCAGCAGCAACTGCAACAGCAACAGCAACAGCAGTAGCAACATTAGAGACGACTAGCGACCCGGGAGGAGCTACAACAATGCTAACAACGGCACCTGTTGCCCATGTTGCTAATGGCAACAACAGCAATTCCAACAGCAGCACCAACAGCAACAATAGTCCTTTTAGCAATAACAATTTAAGTAGCACCAGCAGCAGCAACAATAGCCAGCAGCAGCAGCAGCAACTTCAGTACGAGTATTTAGAGAATCTAACGAGCTCGGCGGCAACTTCAGGTGCCATTGCAGCGACCACTACCTTCACAGGCGCTGCAAAAAGTTTTCATCCATATTTGCGGCCCAACAGCAGCAACGGCAATAGCAACAGCAACAGCAACACCAGCAGCAACATCGCAGCATTATCTGCAACAGCAGCAGCCGTAGCGGCAAAAATGTCGACAACATTGTTTGAAACACTTTTGCACAACCAAATAAATTCCAGCCCCACCGCGCCACCAGCAATTGCTGCAACAGCAGCGGCAGCAGCAGCACCAACACCCGGCACCGCAGCAACCGCAACAGCAGCAGCAGCAGCAGCGGGAGCAGCAGGAACTGCCGCAGCAGCGACGTCGAATTCCAGCATTAATTCCAGAACTTCATTAGGCGAACAACCCGCAGTTGCAGCTCCTCCTCCCAATTGGTGAGTTCGAACTTGGTTCCCTGTTTTATTTTTTTTCTCTCTATGCCTCCTAATGACTCCTAATTACACGCTAATGATTTGTAGCTTCAGGGGGGGGGGGGCTGGAATTCCCGGCTAAATCGGGTGAATGCAAATACATTTTTAAAGAAAATTAAACCAGGTATTTGAGTTGGCGCAGCAAAGTATGCAATGCTTTATTTGGACAGGGAAAATTCTTGAAAATCTGTAAAGGTGATAAAGGCCTACAGGGCTTTCTTTGCGTTTAAGAATTTGGGATGTATTAAGGGGTTAAATAATTAAAATGTTAATGAAATATGGGTTTATTAATAGGTAATTCCCAGACTTCAGCTGATGAAATATTTAATTATAAAGTAAAATTGCTGAGATAATTATAAGGGATTGTTTAGTTATGTTCCTCTAGAAAATAAACAAAATATTTAATGAAATACAGATTTGATAGATAATTTAAGTACTAGATAATTTATCATTATTTATATTTTATTTTAACATTGAACTAACGAATTTAGCATTATTTTTATACTCTTTCCTGGTCCGCTCTTACCAATCAATTCGATTTTTATCACTTTGCATATTACCTTTGCCGTTATGGAACATTTCAATTTCCTATAGCCTGGCACCGGGACGTCACCTGCAAGCCAGTCAGCTAGCCCACCTGCCACCTTCCATCCCCCTTAGACAACTTCGGCTATCACATTTCAAATGGTTATTTCTCGGACGTGCGCCACATTTTCTATTTGCGGGCGCTTCCTTTACCGGAAATTATAAAAAAATGAAGGAAATTCCCACCGTTCGGTTAGCGGACACGGCCCACTTCTCAGCCTGATTTAATTAAAATAAGTAATTGTGAAGGGGAGATATGTATTTAAGGGATGAGGACAACCCGCGACTGCCATCAAGTGGCTAATGATAATTGGCATTGCATTAATGTTATTAATTGGCAGCAGCCCATCAGGGCGACAATTTTCACATAGCCCAAGTCATTGGCGATAATGGCGAATGATTATTGACAGGACATTGTAATTATAATATTATGGCATCGTCGTAATGCTCTCCAAGATGATGATGATAATGATGATGTTCGGAGCGGACATTGAAGACATCGCCGGAAACTTAACTATCATCTATCCGGCCTTTCTCTGCTGTCGTGCTCGGTCATTAAATAATAAAGCTGGAATTATTAAATTTATGTTGGGTCATTTTTATACCGGCCAGCCCAGCCTCCCTGGCTGCTTCATTTCTTGTAAATGTATATATCTATATATACATTTTTGCTTCCTCTATCTTTGAGCTGTTTGTTTTTGTTGTGACAGGCGCGGCATAACAAACTGCCATCATAAATTAAGTGCCACGTCAGGGCAGTGTCGCCACAATGCACAGTGGTTATAAAGTGGTTTAAAAATAAAGTTAATAAAACGATATACGTGCTTTATAAGAGCTAGATAAAGTGGTTGACGAAGGGTATAAATTTATGATAGAGTAAACATATATTTGCAGAAAATACAATTACGATTTCCTTTTATAAATTCCTTTAAATAAAAATCTACAAAAATAATTTATCAGTTTCTAATAATTACCCAATAATATCAAAATATTTTCGATAATTGAGAACCACTGCTTGGGAGACCTTTGTCACCCAACCCACGACCCTGAGCTCCCAGCTGTTGATTCGCGCATTGAGCGGCCATACAACATCGTCATCAGCATCATCGTCAAGCTCATTGGCGGTGGTGCTGGAAAACACCTGGTGTCCTTTGGGCCAAAATCCCCCAACACACCCCCATCACCGTTCACTTTCTGACGCGCTTCAGCTCCCACCGCAGGCGATTTTCTCATTAAGCCCTGGTCGCATTTAAATGAAACTGAATTATTAATGCACAGGCGCAGCCCCAAGAGACCGCCAAGGAGCTCTTTGCCAAACGGAGAGGAATCGCTGAAACGAACGGTGAGAAGTTGACACTGGGAGATGGAGGGATAGTTAGCTGGGAGGCTCACCTGGCTCCCCCCGAGGATTGGCGCCTGCCTCAAATAATTGCCTGGACGACTCCAGGGGCAACACACCTGTCGCTGCTCCACTCGCACTTGTACTTCCAGCATCCCTCCTATATTATTTGGTTTCATTTTTAGATTTTGTTTTACATTTTGTTTAAATTTAGGCTAACACACTCAATGCGTAAATGCTGTAGGCACAGGAAGTGCTATCTATCACCATGGTTGGTTCCAATGGGATTTGATTTAGAGATGGTTTGAAAGAATATTTATACATGTTCTTTAAATTTAATAAATAAATTAGTAAATAAATGATACTTAGTCAGGATATCTTAGATATTTAAGATTTCTTGAGGGATATTATTTACAAATCACTCCAGAGTATTTTCTTTATTAAGAGTTTCAATGTTTAAAAGTTTCCTCTTAATATTGATAATAACAAATTAAAATCAAACTTCAAAACTTATTCGTATATCCTATGTATGCTTTTAAATTATATAAAAGTACCTCCCCTAATTCAAGTAACTCCCCCGATGATTACCTAAAGTCCCATCTCAGATTATTCACCTGCAGGCAGGTAGGCCTGAATTTATCACCTTGACATAGACAATTTCAGCTCGTCCTCGTTCCCGGCTCTAATAGATTAATAACGTTTTGTCATTCGATGGCCCGCGGCTGGCTTCGCGCTTTTCACGGCCTTTTCGCTGAGTGTCACGGGGTTTTCGCATCTCGGGAAATGGGAGGTGTTTCATAACTGAATAAAAGGGAGTAAGGTTGGGGTAGATGGATGAATGAATGGGGCGGAGCTGCTGCAAGCACTGGAATTACTTACGCAGGAAATTGGAAAATGAAGAAATTTAAAAGTAAATTGGAAGTAATTTCCTAAATGGCATCGTTTCAGATGACTCCGGAGATAGCTTGAGTTAATAATGAAACCGAAACGGCGGGGGCGAACACAGTGACATTCTCTTGTGTTTTACCCTCTGGCAAGATGTATGGAAATTTCAATTGCGAGCCCAAAGTATGCGCTGCATAAATTGTTTTGCATTAGGTATTCAGATCGGAGATAAGATTAAGGTACAAACGGATATATGGCCATTACATTAATTTGTATACTCTGGAAGATTAATATATTATTTAAGGAACTCTGTGAAGTTTTGTAATATTTAAAAAGAGTGTATTATTATATTATAAACCTCTAATACGTTATAGTAAAGTAAAGTCTATGTTTAACTATAAAGGATGAATTCAAATGAAATATAAAATTCAGTCAGTAGTCATAAAAATTTGACTTATAAAGGTAAAATTAAACATTTATATAAGGTACAATTTGGAATTAATTACCAAACATGAACATACCAAGTCAAAGATTATAAAGTCAAAGGTATAGCTTCTATATTAACGAAATATATAATCATAAAATTTGCCAAAAACTCTGTTAGTATTTTATACAATTTTAATGATTAAATGTAATATATGTATTTTTGCTATGTAATAATACCAATAATTAGGTTTACACAAAGCTAACTAAGATATGATTATTAAGGTAAACTCCTTACATAATTTTAAGCTCTAAATTGCACCTAAAATCTTCTTTTTAAGAATACTCACAATAAGTACCCCTTATGTAGTGTAAAATCTTCAAAGAATCCCCACAACTACCATTAAATCAATCTGAAGAAATTCCTGTGTCAGAGGACTAACTCCCCAAACTAACCGGCTGAACCAATTAAGTGCTGAAATTTATTGGGCCAACTGCTTGACAACTTCTGCTCACGGCAAATCAGCTCAGTAACCGAGGGCCGCCGGCAAAATTGACAGCCAACCAAAAGTCAATTTCGTACACCATCAAGGGCACCCAATAAAGCCCCATTAGGAGCAACAACGTTGCCCGGAAAATGGGAAATGGGAGAGGAAGACTGAAGGGAAAAGTGAGCTGGGAAAAGGGAAAACTTTTTCGGCAGCACACAAAAACCGACTGAAAGTGACCTCAAAGTGAGCGTTCAATGCGTTGCCAGTCACTCAAAGACCCACTTCCCCTCTCTGGACTCAGGACTCTGTAGAGTCCTGGAAAAACTCCCTCCTCGAATACGGGGATTCAGTGACTGGTCAACCACAAAACAAAAGTAAAAACGTTTACAACTTTTTAGATTAGATTAGTTTGCTAATAACAATTAGTATTTGTATTTTATGCTGTTAGCCAACTTCGCTTCAGTACCAGAGAGTCTCTATTTCTCTGTTTTTTATGGTCATTAGCAAATGAAGTTAGAAATCCAGACGGAAGAAGGGAAGGAACAATATGTTGGCCATAAAAGTTCAATGGTAAAGTTGTGAACATCAATTTGAGATTTGTAATCACTTTATTTGCGAGTGATTGAAGGCAATTCTTTAATTGTGAATTCAAACATTTATTTAAAATACTTAAACAAAGTATTCCAAATCCATAGTTGTTTTGTCATAAAGTGTCAGTCATGTAGCTGTTTCCATCAAATACTTTACAAAACATAAGACAATAATCCAAATTATTAGGCCAAACACCTGCCGTCTTGATGGGAAAGTCGCTGGATGTCGTTGTCTTTGGGGCAGCGACCATTGAATACATAACGTGAGCTTTCGAACAGAAAACAAAAATTCAACAAAATAATTAAAATTCGATTAAAAAAATCCCTCTCAGACATGTGAACGAGCTGCCAAGGCCCGGTGAAATGGTCACCGGATCCTGCATGGAGTCCTGTTTCGGTGGCAAGGCGGCCAATCAATGCGTGGCCGCCGCCAAACTGGGCGCCACCACGGCTCTGGTGGCCAATGTGGGCCTCGATACATCCGGCTACGAATACCGGAAATACTGACGGATCTAGCGGTGAATGTGGAGTATGTGGGTCAGAAGGACAGCCCACGGGCATGCACGAGATTGCCGTTTCGGAGGAGGGAGAACACTACAAGATCAATGTGCCCGGTGCGAATGCGCTCCTCTCCGGCAGCGATGTGTCCGATGCCAAGAAGGTCTTTCGCAGGGCAAAGGTGCTCGTCTGTCAGCTGGAGACGAACATGAGAGTCACCATGTGTGCCCTGCATCATTCAAGGGCGTCTCCATTCTGCACATGTCTCCCCTGCAGACGGATATGCCACCCGATCTCATAAAAAAACCAAGCATTATTGTGGCAAACCGGAGAGCCGCCGCCCATTTGGCTGGCATGGAGGGATAGAGACCTTGAACGATGCTCGGCTTGCGGCCGAGATCATCACCTCCAAGGGGGTAAAGAGCGTGATCATCACAATGGGGGAAAATGGAGCAGTGCACATGAGTCACCATTGGGACAAGGACGGCCTATGTACCCATGTTCCAGCTGCCGATGTGCCCCACCTGGCGGATCATGCTGGTGCCAGTGATGCGTTCATAGGCAGCTTGGCCTATCACATAGCCCGCTTCCCTAAACTTTCGCGGGAACATCACATCGCTGCTGCCCATTCTTGTGCTGCCTATTCGTTGGGCAGGATGGGCACACAGCCAAGTTTCCCGGGAAGAGGAGGAGCGAGGAATAATTTTTGCCTCTGCACGCCAACCTACAATATCCTGCGAGCTGATGATCCCGTGCCTGCCAAAGAACGTCGCTCGCACCATTCGCCATCAATTCACCCGGGTTCGAGGCAGACCTCTACAGCAGATGTTACCGCAAAGAAAGAACGTTCCGCATCTGATCCACCTTCAAAGGAATCTGTACAGTCTGAGGGAAAACAAAAACAAAAGTCTAAAGAAAAACAAAGGAAGAGGAACCTAAATCTCCACCTCCAGAGAATCCAGCTTCGAGCCCAAAACAGCGTTCAGCATCAGATTCACAGGCCACAAAAGATCCAGTTAAGAAACAAAAGAAGATTCAAGTAAATGGCCAAGAAACCAAGAGAAGAACATCAAAATTCACATGACAATAATCCAGTTTAAGTAAATCCATCCATCATCAAGGAAAAATAGATTTTAGAAAAAATATATAAAATTTTAAAATGATTTGTGCCAATATTTCATTTATTATTAAGAGGTTAAAATTTTATGCAGGAAGACCCTTACAAGACACATCAGGATAGTAATTACAAATCCTTTTGAATTCAAACTATTTCATTCTACATTTTATTTTAACTAATTAATCTTTAAAATATTTCTATTTGTAATTCCAGTGACAACAGCCCATGGACGACTCTCCATCAAATCCGAACTGGTGGTCATGGAACAAACAGTCCGGATCCAGGCAAGGATCAGCCGGATGCGGACAATATCAAGATGTTTGTTGGCCAAATACCCAAGACCTGGGATGAGCCCCGTCTAAGGCAGATGTTCGAGCAGTTTGGACCCGTTCACACGCTGAATGTCCTGCGGGACAAGGTCACATCGATTAGCCGAGGTAAGTGTAACATAACAACCTTCCATGGGCTACATACAAATGTGCAGATTAACCGGCGGAGGGGGTTCAATCAAATTTTACAATGTCCATCAATTGCGATCCCCGGGCTAAGCATCAAGTAATATGATTATGCTGATGGCAAGGCGAACAACATCAACATTAAAACTTGCTACCCCTCAGACCAGGTGTTGAGGGTCTGTTGCTGGCCAAAGTTTTGGCTCAGGAGGGGTAATTGGCCATAATTGTGCGTGTATAAACGGGAAAAACTTCCACACACATACACTTCCACACTCGAGTGCAGGAGAGCACATGAGCATGTTGCTCTGGTTAATTTTGGCTGTATTAGAATAATATGCGCATTTGCTTGCAAACTTTCCTTGCCAGCGAAAAGGTAAATTCCATTATGCATATTTATGGTCCAGACTCTGGAGGGGTTGGTTGCGTATATGGGTAGATGTATATTAATCCTTGGAGCAAGGTGTTCGAGCACACGGCTAACACGATGATAGCCGCCAGGAGTGCGGTTGTGGGCAGCCATGTCGGAGGTGGATTATAATTAATCTGCGTAATGGACCTGTGGATAGCTTAGATGGGTTCAGGTCACAGGATTGAAGCAACCAACTTTCCGGAAGTTCAATAAGTAATCCAATAGAAATAAATTTATGGATAGAGGGGAGAAAGGACATAGTCAAAAAATATAAGAGATATAAAAAGAAAAGCAATTATAACAGATGATTATAGATATTTAAGTTTTAATTAATTTTAACATTGTTGCAACCTTTAAAAGACTTTTGAAATCTATTCACAGGGGAATTCAGTATTTATATACTTTAAAAAGAACTTACATATACTCCTTACTATAGCCACACTCAGTCGTAGTCCCCCATTATATTTTGTCCATGTCTCATAATCCTTTGCATGGCTTGCATGAAGCGCTCGTCCTGTGTCTTTTAAAAATAAGCATGCCAAGCCTTGTCGCATATAGATTCTATGATAAATATATTTAGCATTAAACTTGATCAAATGTCCCAATTTGCATGATTAAATATACTCCAAAATATAGTAAATTCAATAAGAATATAATTTTGTAATGGTCCAAGTTATAATAAGTAAATGCAACTAAAAAATCTATCAGGGTGCTACAAAAAATTAAATTAAATTTGAAATCACTTGTAAAAGGCCAAGAATATATCATTAAAAAGCATAGCATACTATTTGGCGCCTTTCAAGGAATTTAAATCCTTAGCTTACAATGGCTCCCCTGTATATATATATTTATATTTCGATAATATATAGTACGTTTGTTCTGTATCATGTGTTCTTGTCTGCAACTGTCTATCGATTCGTTTGATTTGTATTCGATTTGTATTCGATTGTTTCATTTTGTTTGCAGGGTGCTGTTTTGTCACCTACTATACAAGAAAGGCCGCCCTGCTCGCCCAGGATGCGTTGCACAACATCAAGACCTTGGATGGGGTAAGTACATCCCCTACATTGACCTCAACCCCCACCCACCCAAACACACACACACCCAACACACCGATACACTGATACACCCAAAAATCTCATCCCTATATCATCTATGTAGCTTTTGAGTTCTGCCCGTTTTTTTCCTGTTCTCTATGTCCGTGTATGTGTGCGTTTCTTTTTCGTATTTTTGCGTATGTATGTATGCGTGTGTGTGCGTGCTCTCTATGTGTGTGTGTTAATACACACATATGCATTTATAGCCCTTTTGAATAATACAGCTTGAGAAAGTCAACCGCTTGCGACCCCCGATCGATCGATGACATACTTTTCCCATGCATGGTTTTTCGGGGACGGGGAAAGCTTGATGGGGATTGGGTGTCCTGCAAACAGGGTCCTGCGATGGATCCCGGATCCCTGTTGTTGTATGGCCAACACAAAATGTAATCATCAGTCAATTAGTGGATTCAATTATTGAGGACAATCTCATTGTTAACGTATTAAATGAAGCGTTCCACGCACAAGCAAACAGACTAAGATTCCAAAAGGGGGCAGAGAGGGATAGAGAGAGACAGTGGCTTCGATCCGGACAGGGATATGACCGGGTGATATAGGCAGGATATGACCTGCACAGTGATACAATATTAGATAATTATAATTACATATTATATTATTAATACAGAAGTCCTTAAAATACAACATAAAATCTTTCTAGATAGTTTTAATTTTCTTACTATAAAGGATTCTCTTATCCCTTTTTCATGATAAAATTATTTGATTTATCTTAATATATATATTTTAAACTAATTAAGGATCTTCAGAACTCTTCTTTAAGAACTTTCAAGTATAAATCAAACAAATAAATCGAATTCGAGACCACTGTTGGCACCCGCCTGTCCATGATTTACATATTCAAATCGTTAATGGAAAATCCATATAGGAACGTTTGGCTGCCACTAAAACAAGGACTCTGCCTTACTCACACATCCATTTAGGGGGAGGAAAGGATGTACACACACACACACACACATGTGTAGAAACAGGAGCCTGGTCAAATGGCGCCACGTGTGTAATTGTCAAAATAATGACCACATGGCCCCCAACTCCCATAGTTTCTCTCTCTGTGTGTGTGTGGTGGATCTTTGTTTGTGTAAGTAAGTGCCTGCCTGAATGTCCAGGTATGCGTACTATGTGTGGGTGTGAGCGTGTCTGATCCTTTAATGCATTTGGCAGGCTGCCCTCAACAGAAAGGACATCGGACATCGGACGTCGTACATCGATGGCGACAGCCACATCGAGGTCCTCGTCAGCTCCGAAGCTACTTAATTTACCTGAAATAATCGATAGGTAAACAGACGTTAAAATGTCCGCATTTCCACACACACACACACACACAAATGGGGAGTGGAAAAGCTCGGCCACAATAAATATTTTGTTTTGAACTGCCCAGTGCTGGGCATGTGTGAGTGTGTGTCTGAGTATTAAGTGTCCTGCCGGTGTCGTTTTCTTTCCTTTTATTTTTTGACACGTGTGAAAAGACACAGTTGCACAGTTAAGGGAAAGGGGAGGAGCGGTATGGAAAGAGCAAGAGAGTGAGAGGGAAAACTTAAGTGGCGAGCCTGAAAGTATGTCATGAAAAATGTATTTCAACATTTTTATTCCAAAAATTAAATGATTTTCTGAAGAAAATTTAAAGGGTTTGGTACTTAAGTTTAATTTTTAAAAGTTCCATTTATAATATCATATTTAACATTAATTAATATTATATGAAATATTTTTTAAACAAAGAATTTCTAGATATTAAAAGGGCAATATTGATATTTTGTTCAGTGCTACAAAACGTTAATGATAAATATTTTTGTACTCTATTCCCATTTTTTTCCGAGACAAACCGAAAAACTAACCATAATATTGTGACAGCTAATTGTCAATCAGAAAAGGACCAAATAGTAAGTTTCTACAAATCGTATTAGGGCCTCGATGCCATTAAATTGAAAAGGGTAACTCAGACAGGATCGACTAAACCAAACACGACATAGCCACTTGCCCATATCCACACTAGTCCTCCTGATAGTCCTCCTCGGCGAGAACAGACAGACAGTTTTCAGTTTAAATGAAATGCCAGAAAAGGCAGACAGCCATTTTACTCATTCAACTGTCAATTTTGAATAATAGAGCAGCAAAATGGCGCAACAATGAGGGAGGGTAGATCTGAGGCTGGACAAGGACCAAGGACCAAGTACCAGAGGCGGTGACATTCTCTCGTAATTTGCGCAAAAGCCTTTTGACTTCTATCGCCGGTTCTGTCCGGTTTTGGGTTGGAAAAAGGGGACGTGGAGATGGTCGGCCTCAACCCGTAAGCATTTCATTTCAATTTGCTGAACATCATTCACTCATTCAGAGTCAGGATTTTTTCCCACACCCACCGCCACTGTCTGCCAATGCAAAAAGAGAAAAAACAGAAAAAGTTCTTGCAATTGAAGCTCCATTTTCTAATATCGTTGTAAGTATTATTATTATCATTTCCGCTGCTCGAACCGTTTGAATGAAAAGTTAATTGAAATCAAAGTAATGGCCACTGCTGACAGACCAAGACCAAAAGGACCCAGGGACCTTATCAGTTGGCCCAACGAATGTAAAATAAATGGGAAACTTGTTAAAAGCATCGCATTGAATTGCATTTTTCAAGTGCTAATGGCTGCGTTAATGAAATGGCTTCCCCTCCGGCACCACCTCCTTTTTGTTTCATTTATCTTTTGGGTTCTTTTTTTTGGAAAGCTATTTCATTAGCACTCTACATTTGCCGTCCAAGTGTGCCAAAATCAAATCTAATGAGATCGAACAACACTTCAATAAACTAATGAAATCATTGTTGATCGAGAAGAAGTTGTTGGTATAACCTATTTAGCTTTAATGGTTTGGTAAATATGGAAAAATCTACAAAGTTGATTAAGGATAAGTGTGGTACACCTTTATTTTCCAAATGGATATAATTTTTCAATTTACAAATAAATCCTTGTGACTTTGGGAACTCTGCAACTCAAAAACTACACCAAACCATTTTCTAATCCAAAGACTGGGCTTTCCAATCACATTTCCCAAACTTATTAGCCGTTTTTTTTAACTATTCTCTATTTTTTCTGCTCTTTCTCTTTGACAGATGCACCATCCCATTCAGATGAAGCCGGCGGATAGTGAGAATCGAAATGGTAAGTTTCTCTCTTTAGATACTCATGTTCCTTTCGGGGCATATTGGCCCTTGCATATACCTCGTTCCCTTCGCCATTTCCTCCTGCTGTCTGTATTTGTCTCCTGGCAGTTGATTGCCTGTTCCCGCTTTTTTCCTGCAGTGTATATGTGTGTGTGTGGAAGCCTTCGGGCTTAATCACAAGCTGGCATCAAGGAGATAGAGGGGTATAGTGTCTGTATTTGATTACACAAAACAAAGCAGGCAAAAGAATTCGAGGTTCGAACAGGGAATGCGGCAATGAAAATGAATAATGCTCAAACTGACAGGACGAGTGAAAAAATACGAGAGAAAAAAAGGACAAGAATGAAGGAGCAGAAAGGGGGGACAACTAACTGACTACAGTCGGGTATTAGTTGGATTGTGTGAGACCAATAAATCGATTAGGATATGTGCTGAAAAGAACAGGGGAAAAACCATTGAAGGCGTTCGAACAACGAGTTTCAACAAAAAGAAAAATGAGTACCAATGAAATATTACTCTCGGAAGTAAAGAGGTTTAAGCTCATAAGTGGGAAATGTTGGAAAACTAAATCGATTAGTTTGGTAATATTTCCTTTCAAGTAATGGTAAAGAATTTAAGCAATATTTAAAAATTAATAGTAAATCAAACCTGAGAATCATAATTATAAACGCATTAAACTTTAACTCTTATTAAGAATATATTAAGGACATAAGCTATCCCATATATGTTGACACTTCCCGCCTTTCTTAGACCTGCTTTTCACTGCGAAATACAAATCGGAAAATCGTTATTGTGCTTTTGCCTATCGCAGAAATCGGAAAGCGATTGCCCTGCCATGTCCTTCTGTCTCCTTCTTGCACTCCACTTATGCCCTGCGTTTCCGCTTCCGTTTTGCCATACGTGTGTGTGCGTGAGTGTGAGGGACTACTCCTGGCATTTCTTGTTGTCTTTGGACTGACTCGTGTGCAGCGGAAATGTTTAGGGCATCGTTCGCATTCACATCGATGTCCATCGATTGTTGTTCCCTTTTGTGTATTCCATTTTCCCCCCTTACATAATTGCTTTCCTTGGTTTTCCCTTATTGTGTACAAGTGCTCAAGGGGCCAACTACCTTAGCTTAGAGATGAGAGAAAGCTGAAATAATATTATTACCATCATAAATAAATATTATAAGATGTATTTATGATATCAATAGGAAAGATTGTCTTTATATTATATTATTTAAATATTTTGTTAATTTTATATCTAATATAAACACTTTTTTTCTGCTCTCTAACACCGGCTGATCCAAAAACCATTAGAGAATTTTCTTTTAGTTGTATTTTTGTTAGGTGGTTTTTCTTCGATTGCGTCAAGTGTGTGTGTGTGTGTGTGAGTACGCGTGACAAAAATAAATCACAAAATTAAAAATACGTAACAGCGAAATTTTATGGTAAATTAACGAAAAATTGGCACCCATCTGAGCGAGCATTTCGCTCTCAGTTCTCAACGCATCAGTCGGTTTACGTTTTTGGTTTCGTCGATTTAATAAACGAGGATATTAACAAATAACGCCACCAAAAACTAAATGAATGAGTGTGTGTGTTTTGCAAAACCAGAACTGTCCGCTGTTCAATTTAAGCGGACAGTGTCCAAATGTCAAAGTATTGTCAAAATGCACTCATTTGTGATTTCGCCTTAGTTTATCAGGAAAATTAATTGCCGAAAGGGAAGCCATAATATAATAAACCCAAAAATTGTATACACTTTTGATATGGGGAATACGAAATGCTCTTACAAAAAGGTTCAGAATATATTTTATAAATCTCATACATACACACCCTTTAAAAATTTGCGAACTAAGTCCGTTCTTATTATAAAATGGTACATTTATAATACATTATGATAGAATAAATTATTGCTACAATAGTTTTTTATATAAAGTATAATAAATCCTACTTAGGAACAAGTTTTAAACAGTTTTCTTATGACAAAGTACTTTGTATTAAAAGCAAAGTATATTATGTCATACAATTACTGAAAAATATTTTTAAAAATTTGAAAATATTATTTCAAGACAAATTTTGTTTTAAAATACTGCCAAAGCCTAGATACTCATTTGGGATAGTGTATCCAAGCAAAAAACAAATGCCAAACATTTTCAAATGCCACACAAATTTTGCAAAATGCAACAAGTGCAAGATTTTCCTTAGTACACACACAAAAACAACACACATACATAGCGCCCACCGCCCCTTTGTTTCCATCTCTATCGCATGCTTTATATCTTAGCCCCATCTCCCTTCCACGTGCGTGTTTTGTGCGAAATGTTTTGGCGACACTTGACAAAATGCCAGAAATTCTAAATACTTTTAGCTGCCGTTTTGTCGTCGACGTTGTTGCTGTCCGCCTTTTTAGCCTGCCCTTTTGGCTTGGCTTAGTTGAGGATGTCTTTTTTGCTGCCTCTTCTGGCATCCGTCTCTTTCTGCTGCCATCCAATCGATTGTTGCCCTCTCTGTCATCCATTTTGGCCATTCGAAATTATACCAAAATTAATGAGATGCGAGCTAAATGCAACTAGATATACATACATAGATATGTATGTATATACGGTTCGTACGTATGAATTTATTTATGAACACAATTTTATTTGTACGCCTGTTGGCTTTCAAATTAATGGGTTTATTAATTTGCGAATTGTCAGTCGCTGACAGCGTCGAATCAATTTCAAAACACAGCTTGAGTTTAAGAAAAGGAAAGGAAATTTATTAAATAAACTATGAGTTTGACAAACAAACAAACTTACACTTTGAAGGAGACATATTAAAGCTTGCATTTGCTTTCGAAATTGTTTGTTAAAACAAAACCTAGTCACTAAGTTTATTACATGTTTTTTGCCTATGAGCGTATTGTAATTAAACTTGACACACATAAATTAACAAAAGCTTAACAATGACAAGATAATTAATATATTTTCTGTCACTTAAGCATCCGTGAGATTCTTTGGAGAAGTTGGGAATTTAAATGAACTCTCCTCTGGCGGTATTATCTTCAGATCTGAGAATGCATTTTCATGTTTTGCTATTTTTAGCCCGCAGTTGTGTTTGACCTGGTATCTGCCAGATACTCAGATACGCGCTTGCTGGTTGCATTAGCACACTTTTCGATTCAATTATAAAACGTTCTGCGGGCCTGGCCAGCGAAAACAAAGCGCTTTTCTATGTTCGGCGAGTTCAACCGTTCTTCAATTGATTTTCTTGAAGCCTGCACAGAAAGAAAAATGTCAGATGAAGTGAATGATGAAAGATGATTAAATTTGATACAAAGATACGGATACAATTTTGTAATAGAACTTCCTTATATCCATTTAAGACTCACAATATATATTCCTCTCTGTGCCTTGACGTGATCGCTCGCTTAGACAGATAGATATAGATATGGATACACAACGCCCCGCATCGGTCAGATACATAGATACTTTTGTATCTGTATCTGCGATGGCTCGTTTTTTGTAGCTTAGATGTTAATTGCTCGCGTCTCGAAACCTTTTAGGTCGTCGCGATCTTGTCAAGTGAGCACACACAACTTTGACTTGGCATTAAATGTGTTAGAAGATCTCGAAACCTGGGGATGGGTTGCACATGAGGTGTGTCAATGGGGGGAGGGCGGTGTTCAATGCGGGGCAACTTGTTTAGTGAGACGTGAGATGGGGCTAAGTGCCCAGTGATTTATGTAATGTCATTGCAGTCCAAGTAATAAACTTTTAAATTCCCTTTTTTTTGATTTATGAAGATCTAAAGTTATGGTCTTTAAAGCTAACTTTAAAGTAAACGAAAACTATATCTATCTTTGATGTTGTAGATACTATCTTAATATTCTTTAAAGATTATTTATAGATGCAAAATAAAATAAAAGCAATTTGGAAACAGCAATTAATAATACTTTTTAATAACACCTATTGCAATAATAATTGAAATGCAATCAATCATTGCAACTGCTCGTTTCAATCACATAGAATTCACTTCATGAACAGGAAAAACGCTGAGTCAACCCGGCACTAAGCCGAAAGAGAGAGCCATACTCTCATAGAGAGAGAGAGAAGCGGTTGAGGAAGAAAGAGAGGCTCATATATAGTGTCAACCGATGATGACTCCCCGCGAGCAAACATAAATAAACAAACATCTAAAGGCAGGCAACGAGCGTGGCTAATTAGCTTTCTGGCGAGCGAGCCACAAGTGGCCGAAACAGCTGTTCTTCAAGACTACACAGAGAGAGAGAGAGAGAGAGAGGGAGATCTCAAACGAAAGAGAGAGCACTAAATCGAGAGAGAGACCGGCAAGTGCCTCAACGATGTTGCCAGCTTTGAAATAATTTCAAAAAAGTGCAGCGCAATTGATCGGCGGGGCGAAGTGCCCGCGGGCTTTTGACTTTGCCGTTCAGTCTTCACGCGGGACTCTCTTCAGTCAGCCGGTCGATCGTGGATCGTGGATCGTTGATCGCACTATAGATTGTCGATCGTTATTCACTATTCGTTAGTCGCGCACCAGTATCCGCTAGATACGTGCTGTAGTTGTCGCCAGTTGTCATTCATTCGCGGCACGTATCCGTATCTGTGGTTGGTCTCCCTCCCCCCATAAAATGATATAAATGAAATTCTTTAAATTAAATAAATCTACGACGCCTTAATTGAAAACCGAAACCGTTGAGTGTATCTCTCTCTCGAACTTCACGTTATTGATAAACTATATTGGCACAGCCAATTGATTGAAATATTTCCCTCCATCAGACTTAATCATGGTTGATTCAGTAATTGGGAAAACGATTTGGAAACTGACAACTGTGTGCGGTGTGGCAACAAATTGTTAATAACAAATGCAATTAAATGCAAGAAATCAACAGCAATGTGTTTGATTATGTTTTGAAAAATTGTGATGTGCGGAAATACATGAGACCTTAAAAGTGGACTTATAAATGCTAAAAAAATTTATAAATACTCAATTAGATACTTAAATGGTTGTG